AACTTCCAAATAGCATTTTTTTTTTTTTTTTTTTTTTATAAAGCTGTTGAAATTATTTCTCACGTAAATCTATTTGTTTATGTATATGAAATAATAAGACAGATTCACTTACAAAAACCACTTCTTTTCTATGCAAAATTCATCGTTCAAGATATTATTTATCATTACAATTATGAACTTGTTTGATCATTTATCTAAACAGTCATCGTTTGGTATTACTTTTTCTTATTCATTGTTATTTCATTTTTCTTATTTCCCAATAATTGACCTACATAAATTAACCTGTCAAATTGACGAATTTTTTTAAAAATAGATATACAACGTCTAGAAATAATAAAATATAAATATTCCAGAGAAAACGAATAATAGAAATATATATTTGCTGCGTTGTTTAAAGAATAATATTTGCGTGTTCAGAATTTTTAAGCATAAAATCGAAAACCCGTCAAACTGACGAATTTTCTTAAAAATAGATATAAAACTAGAAATAATAAAATATAAATATTCCAGAGAAAACGAATAATAGAAATATATATTTTTTTGTTATATCATTAAAAATAACGTTTAAAGAATAATATTTGCGAAATTCAGAATTTTTAAGCATAATCTAGTGTAAGAGACTAATGTAAATCTAGCGTTAAGAGAGAATTAGCTCTACAAAAATAAATCGAAATGTGAAATCTTCTAATCTAATCGTAATCTTGCACCCGATTGATCCGACAAAACCTTGAATTTGGAAAAGAATGGGGGAGGAAAGAACTTACTTGCGCAGCTAATAAAGAAAAGAAATAATTCACTTTTTAAATGTTATTATTATTCCTCCCTCCGTACGTAACGTGAACGGAATAAAGATTAATAAAACGAATTGATCGAAGAAAAAAAATCTCGTCTCGTGATTTCAAGAAATGGAAAAGGATCTTATTATTTCAGAAACGGGCCGTTACGCCTGTGTTAAGGCTGATAATCAATGGTCGTTGGGCGAGACAGCGTAAACAAATAAATACGCGGGACAAGCGTAATAATAATAACCATAAAGATCGATCGGGAACACTTTCGAAAATATTTTCAAAAGCGGAGTGTTATCGCGAATGGAAATCGCGTAAAGAAAGAAAAAGAAAAAAAAAAAAAAATTGACGCAACGCGAATCGAACGCGAATCGCAGATTAAAACGAGTCTCACGAGTTTGTAGTAATTTTTAAAAATTATCGTTTATTATCGTGTCGACAATTATTATACGTCTCGCGCTTTCCATTATTATAATTGCGAGCGAATTATTGGAGGAGAGAGGATCACGTGATCCTTCTGAAAAGAGGGGAGTGGAAGGAAATAAAGGATAAGAATATTCAAAGGAAAAGCAACTTTCCTTTCGAGGCGGTAAATTTGAAGAGAAGAGAGAATTCCTCCATAAACAAAGGGATGCTGTTCGAATCTTCCCTGGTTAAAAATAAAGAAAAAGAAAAGGATTTCCATTTGCTCGTCGCCATTGCTGGAAGATTCGTTAAGAAGTTAATTTTCTTCTTCTTCTTTTGCTTTCGTTTAAAAATTGTCCGCCATTTATATTTTTTGTAGAAACAAAAGAAAAGAAAGTTCCCCCCTTCTTCACCCTTCCAGTCGTTTCGCCTTGTAACCCATTCCACCAGCTTCCAGAAATAAAAGCTTCGCGCAAATTAGCCGCAAGTATCGGGTTTGCCGTGCAATCACGAAAAATACGTTGGACGTATCGTGCGTGTCACAGGTGTTCTAGCTCGTTTTACAGATTTTACCACGTACGAGACGAGGTTAAATTATCCCCCGAGTGGTATTGCGAACGTATAATTTCACACGTGCGTGAATGATAAGAATTTAAAAATGGAGCGCGCGTTTCTCGAGCCGCGTTAACAAGATTCTGCACAACATTTTGTTCAAAAATATTTGCACAGGTGTGACTCGGTTCTTCCCTTCGAACCGAATCGTGTGAAAAGAAGAAGTCGAAGAAAAAGTTCAGTTCCAAATTATCATCTATCTTTTTACGACGCCTCGTCATGAGCTGCTCCTCTTTTTTCTTTCTCCAACAAAAATAAAAAGCGTTTCACGACGACACGTGCTCAACGAAAATCGGTCGACCGACTTTCGAAATATTATTTTCTCTCGAAATTTAAAAATATCTTACCGATGAAAAGAAAAGAAGAAGAAATAAATAATATCGTCGACGAGAATCGATGAAAAGGAAAGATATTTAAAAAGAAAAAAATCGGTGCGATAAACGATTTTTATTTATTTATTTATTTATTTTTTTTTTTTTGAGCACGCAACAATCCGAGGC